AAGTGTGTGTATGTTTTTTTTTATTTCTAAAGAAATCAACTTTTGAAGCGCTTAAATATTTTTATGTACTTAATTTTTTTTTTCATATTTTCACCATATTTTTTTCGTGCATCATACTTTTTTGTATTACAATTAACTTTTGAAATCCAACGATTGGGAGTATTGTCAAAACCTTACTATCTTATCAAAATTTTAATTTTAATTTAACAATAATAGTACAAATATACTTGGTTTTCTTCACTTTCTGCTAGCAATATAGCGAAATTTCTGTCATCTAGTGAAGTGTATGGTTCTTGTTGAAGACTTATTTAGCATTACTATTTATCTTTGATCACTGACATTGAATTTTGGTTATGTTCTTTTTTTTGAAAATAATTATTTTTTTAAAATATTTTTTTTATTCATGACCAAGAAATCTATTAGCTTCACACCAATTGTTAGTTCTTTTTAATTATTGTATCGGCAGTTAGAGGATAAAGAGCTACTTGTAATTATCTCTTATACAAAACTTTTATTACACAGCATACTTTAGTGTACGATTATATCGTTCATATGTAGTTGCCTTAAAATTACTGTAAGTAAAGTATAAGTTACTTTTGTAATTTTGCATGAGACTTTTATAATTTGCGTATAATTCTTTACCATAATTTCTTTGTTAATCAACTCAAGCTTTGTCTTTCGTTGATATAGATTTCATAGTTGTAGTCACATCAGTACTAATTTTGTTATTTTCGGGCTTGGCCCATGCACACAAAAAGAATACATCTATTATTCGGCAAATATTTATAACTTTTATTATCATGAGCATGAGATATTTCCAAAAGATTAGTTTGCCATGTTTTGTTTAAGCGCTGAACATCAAAGTTTTGGCGAAGGTAGTCACAATTAGAGGCTTATAAAGCTCTTTAACTACTGCTTCTATCACTTTTATCTAACACAGTCATATTTAATATTTTTATAAAAATCTCCTTGATTGTGTTTATTCGACGTTACAAATTTGGTGTTATTTCTGACTATACATCTCTTAAATTGCTCACCAGTGGACATATTTTCTCTTGCTTATACACTATTTTCTTTCTGTGAAGTAAAAAGATCTATAGTGTTATAAGGTTTAACAGCTAATGATGTCAAATCTTTTGATTTCTAAGTCAATTGACCATCTAACATAAGCTAATACCTTATTCTAGGAGGACCTTGACTACCATCCTTAGACTTCGCTGATCTAGGTCTGAATATATCAAGGCTTATTAAAATACAGAAATTTTATTTTATAAACAAGCTTTGGATATAATATTCCCTTTACAAAGCTCTTTAACAGTTCAACTAATTTTATAAGCTTGTATAGAGTAACATGCAGATTTTTTTGCCACTAGCAATCTTAGTTAATTAACTAATTTGTTAGGGTTGTTTCAGTTAAAGTAATATATTTGTGTATTTATTTAAGCAATTTAAAATAATGATATGGATCCACCATTCTTATTAACATGTGTAAGATTAAACAATTAGAAATAACGTCATGAATTTCTTTATGCTGTATGGACAAATAGTCTTTTTGTTATTAGAGGACGCCACACTGATCAAACGGGATTGTCATTCCCAATGAAATGATCTGAAATTTAAATATGCTATAGTTTATGCCTTTCTAGATGAAATGTACCATCGGCACAAGTCCTGGAAATTGATAGTCTTGGAGAAAACAAATATCCAAATCATCGATTGTGCAAAGATTAGTTTGACAAATGATGCAGTACAGTCCATACTGGCATAAAATAAAAAAATAATATGAGAAGGGCATCCATCATTCTTGACTATCAATAAACATATTAAAGTATCATTTTGTTATGAAAGAGTAGCTCTACAAATTAATTACTTTCTTAGTACGCATGGAGCCTAATAATTGTTAGACAATCTATAGATAACTAGATAGCAAGCAATGTCTCATAGCTTCAAGTATAAAAAAGTGCATTGTAAACGAGTGGTTTCATAACTTTCAGCATTAAATGTAAGCCTAAGAGTGCTCCATCACGTTTATTTGATTGCTATGTAAGTTATACCAATTATTGTTTTCATGAACAGACGAGCTATATTAACTTTCTTATAATGAGATGAATCATGAGTTATTCGTTTTCAGTTTACCTATTTCAAGTTGTAGTTGTTTTATTTGAACTCGTGCTTACAAGTGCAATAACCCTATATTTTGTCGAGTTCGAATTTAAGAATACGTTTTTTTTACTCATTGTTGTACTTCTTAATTTTTTTTATCTACTACGTCATGTTACTATAATAACAACTTATCAACTGTATTACCATATTTAACAAGACCTCACATAGGTTAACAAGCAGGCTTCTGAAGCAAATATCTATATTGAAGGAGCGCGCGGTGGCTCAGTCGGCTAGGTCGTGGATTGGTACGCGGGAGACCGTGGTTCAATTCCTGGCCAGTGCGACTTATCAGGCAAGTACCTGTGTGATTTCTCACATGTGCTTTTCCACCACGCAATACTCCTCGAGGAGGGTTTAGGCGACCTCTTCGCAGCATAATTGCCTAATTTTCCCCGACCTCCCTCCCAGTAATGGGAGGCCTCCCATCTGTCTTCCCTTTCTTCTCCAAAGTGCTAAGTGCCCATAGTAGTGCCCTTATTAAAGGAGCCGGACGTAGAGCACTATAATATAAAAAAAAAAAAATCTATATATATGTATATACACCCATCACAAAAGTTTATTCTTTTCTGCAGTTGTAAAAAACGCTGGAAAACAAAATCGCATGAGTGAAAATAATGTTTTTTTTTCTTTTAAGTATGTATACCTTTAAAACTTTGAAATATAACATAACAGTCATGAATTTCGAGTTGTTAATAAAGTTAATCTGCAAATTTACAATTAACTACATGGAAACTTGACGAACATTCAATAAATAACAGAAATATGAAATTACTAGGCACAACATGAAACAAAAAATAAAAAATAATGAAGTTTCTTGCTATAAAAATAACAATGCTTTTCATTTTTTTGTAAAAAATGTATCTTATGATTATTGCTATAAAAGCCTAATTTTTACACGGCTGAATTCCATCTAGGATTTCGTTTGTTTCACCATTGGCTGCAATTTTGTGCTTTTTGTGCGGCTGATTGTACATCGTTTGCAGCGGCACATGCAGCAATTCCATTATTTGTGTAAAATGCGGCTCTGAAAGACATTAACGACAATATTAGTCAATTTCACGATAAACTGGAAAAGTTAATTTTTTAAATTAAGGTATGACAATTACCAGTCTCTGGAGTTATGAAACCATGTCTAATGAAAAAATCTAGCGATACTGGAACTGACGTTGTCTTAAAGTATGGCGAGAGAACCCTTTCGAGGCACTGTTTAACGGGCAGTAACTCAAAAGTTTCAACTTCACCATCGCAATTGGTGGGTACAAAATCTACTGGTAGTTCTAAATCGAACACAAATTCGGTATTGGGAAATAGTCCTCTCTCACTTTCGAAAAATAGCGAAACACAACCAACGCTCTTCAACTGCTTCAGCAAGTGATCGGGAATGCCGGCCTCTTCGCCAGCTTCTTTATTCGCTGTCTGATTGATACCGTGGCCTACACTTAACCCACCACTAACACAATTGTCCCAGTAACCTGGCCACGTTTGCTTGTTGACACTTCGTTTTTGAAGCCATATGGAAAGACCCTTCTCTGGATCCATAACATATCCGTTTATATCTACTCCGTATTTTCTTATACCGAACAGCGCTGAAATGAAATTTAAATGAATATTCATATTTTCATGAGTTGCTGTTAGTTAAAAAAATCATAAAACTTACATGTGGCAGATCTATCCATTTTGAAAAGTGGAGGAGTATTGAACTGTGCTCTGACATCATAGTACTCTTCCCTCCAGCCATGTAAAGCCACAAACTTTCCTCCACCTCGCCACTCTTTGAGAACTTCTCCAACTTTAGCGCTTCTTTCAGCATAATCTCTGAAAGCTGGATTAAGCTGTACATACTCTGGATATACTTGAAATACCTAAAAAATTTAATGAAATGGAACATCAATACCTGCACGTACCTTTTATAAAGTATGTAAGTAATTAGTTACATTAAGGTACCATTAACACATTTTCCAACTAATTAGAATAATTTTCTCTATAAGTTATTAAAACTTTATTAGGCAATTGGAAAGGTGTACCTTAATCTACGTAATTACCAATTTTAAAACCGTTTTAAATAATTTACTAAATAGTTAAGTCAGCGATTTATAACGATTTTGTGTTTTATATTAATTTTAGAAGGTTAAGCTTTACCTGTGGGTAATTTAAGAGTTCTTTCATAACATCAGGACGAACCAACCCAATTTGTTGTCCATCTACTACAAATGCTCTGCAATCTCCTGTGCGGAATCCTAAACATCGAAACATCGATTTTAATAAATAAAACCTTCATAATTTTTGATTTATCTAGATTCGACATGATAAAAAAGTACTAGGAAAATAAATGACACGTAAATGTGCTTTTGGTTTCATGCCAAATACCCAAGTCTGCCTTGGATAACTATTTTTACTTGCTAGGCTCAACCTTGATCGAATCCAAATAATTTTTGGCGAATTCGACGATTTCGTAAAGCATTTTTTTGCATTATAATGCTTGCCGGTATTGCCGTGCTGTTACACAATTGTATTACAATTAAAAAACCACCACATTAACTTTTAGTCGATAAAAATTTTATCTAACAGTCTGTTATTGCATTCTACTGGATATTTTCTCTTATCTCCGAGCATTCGTCGACTGCGGCGAGACTTATTACCAAGATAACAAAACTATCATAATTTACAATAGAGTAATACAAAAGTAAAATTTATGAGCGCTATCATTTACTGTCGGTGATAGGTGTTTCTTGATTGTGAGAAAACTCTGAAATAAATCATTAAAAGCATCGAGCGTCACTAAAATTTCAAACTACTCTTCAAAATACGAGCCAAATTGATGTGTAAGTGTTTTGGTAAATGAATGCGATTGTTTTGAAATGACTGTACCCGCAGATGAAATAAATCGTCTAAACAATGGTAAATCAAGAATAATTGAACCCACGATAAAATATCTCACAAAACAACGCGACACTATACACCACTGTCCACTTGTAACAGGAACCCGTGTGTTATAGATAATCAAGTAAGCGGTGGATAAAAATAAAATTTAATTTCTGGGTCCCCATAATTCACATAATAATCAATAAGAACACGTCAGCCCTATGTATACGCGTCCATTATGGTGTATACTTAAAAATATCCCGTCAACACAAAAGCAACGACGAAAAGTAAAAAAAAAAAAATCCACTACCACTCACCCACCGGGCCGAGCTCCGCCGAAGCAAAAACAATAACAAACCACAGCTGTGCATGGAGCAAACGCACTGGTATCGATCCACGACAAACTCAACACCGAAAAACCGCGTGAAACCCATGGTTAACGAGCTCGCAGACCTGAACACGCAACGCAGCGCAATCGGATCTACGTCAAGGTACGCGCGAGATGCAACAATTCGCTTACCTGATAGGTAAAAACAGTTGAATTTACGGGCGAGCTTGAGTAATGGAGTCATTGGCTCGCTGTCTTGATTCGCCATGATGAAGAGCAGACGCTGTGCAGGGCTATCGCACGCGTGACGTTTCTCTCTCTCTCTCTCTCTTTTATTTACTTCTTTACTTCAACGTGTGTATTTACTATCTATATATATGTATGTTTACCTCACGAGAGGTGGACACAATATAAAAAAAAAAAAATCTATTTTGAAGACTATCTCAAGCAAAAAAAGGTACTACTTGCCTCCTTCAGTAAGTATAGATATCGCTCACATCACTTCTTTTCTTAGGCAAAGATAAGATATTGTACATTTTCTAAAGTAAAGATCCATATTATATTTCCCTTGTAGCAAGAAATATCCCTCGAGCATAAATGAGTATTGTTCTTTTTTCTTTATGCCTTTTTCCTTGCAGGCAAGATCAATATCACACACTGCCACAAGCAGGGATTTATATTAATTTTATTCTTAAGCAAACATAAACATAGCTTTTTCATAAGGCAAGAATCAGTATCACATAATGCCACCAATCACACAAGCAGATTATCTCATTCCTTCTAAAGCAAAAAGTAATATCCCTTCGCTGCTCAGAATGGATAAGTGTTGTTTTTTTAGTCAGGCAAACATTCATGTTGCTTGTTGTATGAAGTAAGCACCGATATCCAACATTACCATAAGTTAAGGTCAATTTTACTATTTTCCTTGAGCAAAGATAGATATCCCTTATTTTTTTGAGAAAATAATTGATACCACACTTTGCGTAAAGCTAAGATGGATATTACACTTTGCCTTGAGAAATTAAAAATTTTGTGAATCACAGAATGACGGTGAATGGAAAAGACAAAAACTTTTAGTCACCTACAATTAGAAAATGTAATTTATTGCAGAGCTGCTTGTTCATTACTTATACACTATTGTTTAACAATTCAACGTTTTACAGTGCCATCAACTAACTTAGGCTTATTTCAAAAGCTTACTGTGCAAAGCACTACTTTTTTCAAAGGTTCTGCGGGAATTTAGCTGTGCTGTCAGGGCTCAAAGTTGAACAATATTTTAAAATATTTGACATATATTCGCAGTTAATGGATTCATATCTTACCCCTTAGTGTTTATTATTATTCGATGTAATACCCCTTAGCGTTTACATAGTGACAAACGAAGTATCAGAAAATTGAACAGTGACACTAGATGGGAATGTCTGATGGCTCATTTTTATTAAAGGAGGAGAAATCACTCGAATACTTTTGTACATACGTTTGTAATCAACTCTTATTATCATCTTACTAGGCTTAAAATTTGTTTTGCATCGAAAATACACCATTTTTAATCTTTGAAAATTCATTAGGATGAGCAGGGAAAACTTTCCTTGGGAACAAAAAAAAAACCTTATCCTAATAGTGTTCAAGCTCATTGTTGTTGATCTTCGGCCTTTAATATTGCCACCATGTTCCCACATTAAAATATGAACAGTGTGTGCAGACATTGAGCAGATAATCTAGTCAAAAAAAAGTGCTTTACTTATCATACTTTGAAATAAGACTGAGTGGGTTCGTGGCTCTACATGATCTTCTGTTACTAACCTTCAGTGTAGAAATAGTTGAGTGATGGTAAAATTCTGAGTATACAGACGCATAATAATAATATTTTTCACTTCTATGGAACCTCGGACTTCAAACTTTGTCATTTGTTTTCTCTGTATAGGTTATAAACGCAACGAAGTTGTGTATTATGAAGATATAATTATTTTTCGTACATAAAATTAGGTTCTACTAATAATAAAAGTAGTCATTAAGGTTCTAAAAAATATAAGTTGTGGATTTAAAATGAATTTTCAGCTTAGTACAAGAATGATCCGAGTTGGTTACATATAGGTGTTTTTACATATACGGGTATTTCTAAAATAGCTGCTTCAGGCGATGCCTTGAGTACGTATAGGTATTTGTTTATAGTCAAAATGCAGTAATAAAAAGGTCCATATTTAAGTGAAAATAATCGCCTTTTAGTTTTTTCACGCTCTGGCCCTTGCTGTGTAAACACTTACTGTAGATACACCAACTGCGAGTACATGTAAAAATCTTGACAATATCATCGATCTTTGGCCATTTATATGGAAATCAAATCTTTGTAATAAAATGTGAGTAGTGTGCATAATACACTTTAAGCCTAAAATCTAGGAAAAAGTCGTATTTGGCTTGAACACTTCAAAAAAAAAGGACTGAGAGGGTGCATGACACTATATAACGTTAGGTTGTTAAACTATAAAGCACAAGTAATCAGTTGGTGGAACCATCATTAATTTATTTTTCAAACTTACACGCAACTGAGGTCTCATATTTTGGAGATGTGAGTAGATAAAAGTCGTTTCCATTCACTTTTATTCTGCGATTTGAATAATTTTTGAAGGCATGAGGTATGTTATTTTTTAAAACACATGAAGGTACAAAACATTATATACGCTGAACAGTATTCTTTTCATGTCTATAATCTGTACCAGCTTTGCAAAAATTATAGTGTTTTTTTAGTTCATTTTTATTTCGTCCACGTCAATAACGATATAAATAAAATGTGCTATATAAATATTTCCCTGTGATAAAAGAAACGATATCTTCTTTTGCCTTTCACGATATCAATTTCCTCCTGACAAGGGAAGTGATGTCTATCTTTCTCTAAAAAAAAGTCATTTTGATCGTTGAACAAAATAACATGTCATATATTTCTTTGCTGTGGGAGGATAGCGATACCTTCGCTTGAGGCGAAGTGTAGTATCAAGTTTTTTTTCAGGTAGAAAAAAATGTGCGATATCGATCATTGCCTTACAAAAATCGTGACATATTTTCACTAATACGATCTCACTATACAACTTGGTTTTAACAATTTTATTCGCTTCCTACACAATAAGAATTTTTGCCTTTAGATTCAGTATAAAAGAAGACTAAAGCCTATCACTGTATTATAAAAATCTGCACAGACAACTAGATTTAATTATATCTAAAAAAGTAAATTAATGAAAAAAATCGACAACTACACCAAAAAGTAACGAAAACAATAGTTTATAATATGTATCAAGACTTCGAAAAAAATTTTGTCTGATTATTTGATGTTTAATGGTGTAGTATTTTCCCATAAGACATTGCTTTTCTTGAATGTTTGTATAGTAATAACATTTGTAGAATTTATTATTAATAGTACAAAAATCATAGAGCTATTTTTCGATCGTAGAATTATGCTATTTCAGATTTTTTGATAGCATATTTCTGACTTAATATCTAACTAAATGTGTGGCCTAGTATTTAGTTAGATGTCTGCCTAAAAGTATATATATGGCTTAGTGTCTGGCTTAATGACGGTCTAGAAGTATAGCTCAATGCTTGGCTTCAACTCTGGCTAAATGTTTTGCTTTAAGTATAAAGAATATAGCTATACTTATAGTTAGAAGAATGACTCAATGTCTGGCTAAATGTCTGGCCTTATGTCTAGCTAAAAGTATGGCTACTGATATTTTTGGCCTAATCTCTGGCCATAAATATTGCTCAATGTCTGGAGAAATGTCTTGCTCAATGACTGGCCGTACGTCTGATATTAGGTCTGGCTTGAGGTATGACTTGCGAAATTTCTCTCCGAGTGTTAAGTTTGAAGTCATAAAAAATATGGCTCAATGTCTGGCTAAATGTCTGCTCGACATTTTGCCTATAAGTAGTAGGTTTTGGAATCTGGACAAGAAAATAAAAGTGCAGTTGATAAAATAGTATAAAATGAGAAAACTTAATATAATCGGTAAATGATTAATCCAATAATAAGTAACTTTAAAACAAATTTTGCTTATAATAATGCTTGTAACAATAAATAAAAAATAAATATACTCGAAGGCAGAATCAGCTTATGTATTTGTTAAAAAAAAAACATACATTATACATTATTTTTGTTACCTCCACCTTTCATAAACAGAATTTTGACCCTTACAACAAGTCGAAAGATGGTGGAAGCTTAAAAATTTATTAAACCCTATGAAAACTATTTTTAACAAAATTTAAGTATTCGAAAGTTTGGCATCTTAAAACTAATTACGTAAGCTTTTTGTTTTGAATCAGGGTAATTAAGGTAATAGTTTTAAAATTTGATGGTGTTGGTAATGTGAGCTGTAAATTAAATAAGACTGTAGTTATTATAGTCTTTTTAACTTTGCACTTATTGATAGCCATATGTGTTAAATTTAATTATTTTAACTGGAAAGTGTATGAAGGCAGAGTTATTGAAACAATTAATTATTTTCTAAAATATAAGGAAAATGTAATTTGTTTGAAAAAATTAACAGAACAATTTTATTAAATATATACATAAACTATTTACACAAACAAGGCATATTTGTTCATACGAGGCAGTTGTACGCTGAAATGTTACTTTAACAAAAGTATCAATGATAACCTCTGCATATATTTAGGTAAAAGTTTAAACGTCAAGTATAAAAAAATTTGTGAAAATTGCGTGGGCTATGAATTACCAGAGTGCAATACTCATAAGGTTTCAAAAAAGAATTGCTTACGCATTTACAAGAAAAAGTCAATCCAAGTGAATTATAAAAAGAGGTATATTAAGTAATGGTAAGTACGATACAAAAATACATCATCAGACTTAGAAAATACTCAGGAATACGCTAATCTATACAGACATCTCAATACGCAAAAAAAGCTGACATGCCGCACAGTGGGACAAAACGAGTTTTTTGCGTAAATAAAATATTTCCAAATCGAATTTACCAATCACAATAGTTTTTTTTTCAATTGCAGCTTATTTACCGCAGAATACAGAAAAAGTAATCGGGATTGTAAGCGCTCCCTCAAAGGTGGTGAAAACAACCCTTTACGTTGATGAAATTTGAAAAAAGTTATTCAAAACTGATATTTTTCACTGTATTTGTCAAAAATCTTTAGAAATTTGAGGAAGAAACATAAAGCGTGATAAAATAAAATAAATAGATGATGTAGGTATTTTGTAGGAAGTTGAAACAACCCTTATAAAGGCTTAATTTAATGAAATTATGTAAGAACTTTAAAAAAAATTTAATCATTTAACTAAGCAACTAAACCTATATTTGCTTGAATCACGTAAACACATTGTCAGGGGAAAAAATCACCTATTAGGATAAA